ATTCCTGTCCAGAGAGTCAAACTACAGGCATTTATAGTTGCAGAGGTACACAAGTCTAGTATTAAGTCTACAGACTTAAAATAGTCAGGCATCAAGGAAGTTTCAGGTTATACATTAAACATTATGTTGGTACAGCTGCAAGCAAGTGATGGTTGTGTGGGCTTAATTGGAGAATCCTTGGATATTAGTGGGGTGTATGAGCACTGGATGTGGTGATCTCTGCACTTGTCTCATAATAGAGTTGATTAATACTGAGCAGTGCCTGTCTGCCTTGCTGTTTCTATTCAGGCTGAGGGAACAGGCAGATAACAGGATTTCAAGTCATCCTCCTAAATCTGTGGCTTAATTTAGACCCATTGTGGAATTGAGTGTCTCCATAGAAGCACAAATTTGCATCTGTGATGGCTGAACTATATTTACTTTCTTGAGTGCACAGCCTGCCAAATATCCACTTGGAATACACAGTGATTGCATAGACAAAGTAAATGGGTAGGAGTAGAGTTTATCTTGAGGACATAACTCTGTGAGATGCTTTTTCTACGTAGTTCTAACTGAAAAAAATGGTCTTTAGTCATCTGCATCTGCGTGACAGAAGTTAATCTTAAAGCTAAGGCTGAGATGTCAATAATTGTATATAGTTAAATTGTCAGCTGGGAATGTATTATATCCAGATTTAAAAAAAAAAAAAGCTTCAGACTGGTGTAGCAAAAATGATAATGCTGCATTCTAGCAAGTTCTGTTGAGATACTAATAAACACAGACCAGCTACAAATTGAGAGATCAGCTATCCATAACTTTCAACTGAAACCTGTGGCAAAATAAGTTCATCCGTTCTAGAAGGGATAAATTCTCACTGTTACCAAAGTGTCCTTAATAGGTGCACATAAGCAGTATGGTATGAAATGTAACCTGTTGGCTACCTTCCTCCACAGCCATAGCTTCCACAAGACCTGTATTGACCCTTGGCTTCTGGAACGCGGGACATGTCCACTGTGCAAATGTGACATCCTCAAAGTTTTGGGTGTTGAGGTAAGCCAGCAGCCTGCCATGGGGGCAGATGCCATTCACACTGTTATGCTGGTGCAGGAACCATATCTTGAGCTGTTTCATGCTGTCCCTAGAGTGCAGGTGATTAGCACAGGTATTGCCATGTCAGAGGCCAAATGCTGAAGGACTAATTGCTATGTCTAATTGCTTTTAGGGAAGCCCGCAGGTGACCTGGCCTGAGCTGGTATCATCTAAAGCCTTGGGCAGAGTGTCAGCCAAAGCTGACTGTTACGCATGATGGAAGAATCGCTCTTAACTCTTCCACTTGCAGCTAAGGGTGTTTCTCAAAGCTTCAGGCAGACTTTGACAGTTCACCCTGTCCCTGAAACCAGTCTCTGTTCAGTTCCTCAGTACCTAGAGTCCTTAAAAAGTCAATGTGTTAGCATGTACAGCAGTCCTTGGAGCCACATGATGTCCTGGGATACATCAGGAATTTCTGATGTGTTCTGTAATTGGTTGTTGTAGCAAGTACCAGGGGAGGATAGTGGTGCCAACACCTGATGCTGCCTGGACCATCTAAAATGTATGCCAGGGTCTTCCTGGGGGATGGAAAAATGCACAGAGTGGAAGGCAGACTCTTTTCTTGGTAGTGGGCAGTAGAAGGGAAGAGCTGGCTGAAGAAAGCAGAAGCTGTGTCTGAACTTCCCACTCAATTAGCAGTTACTAGTTTTCACCTATGATGCTGAAGGTTAACAGCAGAGCTTTTATTCCATTTTACCCTTTTTCTTTGTGTAAAAGTGTCCTGGACTCGGTCCTTGTTGGTCTCCTGGAAAGATGTAGCCTTCTACCATGATGTAACTTAATGATTTTCTCTTTTTTTCTCACAAAGATGGATGTAGGAGCAGGGTCGGAGCCTGTGCAAGCCCCAGGATCCACTGGCCAGAGATCTCTACCCACTGTCACTATAGTTAATGAAGAGGAAAATAGTGAAACAGCATCATCATCTGGATATGATTCTGTACAGGGACCAGATGAACCTGCTCATGCACAGGAGGCACATGCATCATCAGAAAGTATGTCTACTCTTCTATCTGTATTGCTGGAATGCATTGTGCTTAGTTGCTTAGGCTGTGAATGAAGGGGATTTGCCTTAATAACATCTCACAGGACTTTAATGCTTTGTTTTTTAGGGCAATCTTATCTTCCCTTTTGTTTTAGCCCTTGGATATGACACTTGGTCTTTGTTTTCAAATGAAAGACAACCTTAATGTGAATTAAAAACCAAAGTCTATAGAAAGAGTAGTTGAAAACCAGAGGCTTACTACTTCAAGGGCAAAGCGATTTTTCCAAAGAATGTCCCTTTGTCTCTTTGGAGATTTCAGTTGGATGAGTGAGTGTTGTTTTGCCACCAGATCTATCTGCTTTAAGTAGTTACTTGCCTACAGAAAACTTTTTGGAGTCAGTCCTGTTCTACCTTAGATGGCTCAAGAGAGAGATGACAGATACTTCAATTGAATTTCAGATTTTGCCAAGGCTGAGTCATCCTTGAACACTTTCAGGGAATGTTAATTTGAAAAGACTATCAGCTTTTCCAAACACTTCATCTTTTTTAACAAAACCAAACTAATTAAAAATGTCTTTTTAATGCTCAGCTTTACCAACACATGCTCAATATTGCTGTTGGTTTTAAAAATGGAAAGGTTCCAGGTAAGCAAATGAAAGTAACTATCCCCTGGATCATGGCATAGCCTTGGGAAGAGGAGTAAGGGGGAAGCTTTCAGAGGTGAAAGAGATGCTCTATTTCCCACAGGAAGCCTAGCTGATGGGAAAACATGAGATTTGCTGCCTGCCTCCTGTAGGACATACTGCTGCAGTGAATAATGTGTACAGGAGTGCCCTATTGAAGCACCTCTGTAGAACAGAGGACACTGCCTATGAGCTAAACAGCAGAACTTGAAATTGCATCCCTATAAGCAACTTCAAGTGATGCTGGATTAGTTACGTGGCTCAGGCTCTCATGTGTTCTTTCTTGTGGAAATCAAGCGAGTGTGGCTTGCTTTAAGGTACTAAAGCTTGGCTGTAACACTTCTTAACTTGTCTTGGTTTTGTCCTGGGCAGATAACAACACACATCCTGTGAACGATAAATCCCAGCCCTCCACTGTGACTGTCCTTTCGCATGGTGACAACCCAGGTTTTGAGGGAGATGAAACACAAGCTTGTGAAGACAGGATCGTTTCTGAGGCCACGGTTTGAGGACATGCCCAGCAACGTGGTGCAAGCCTTCTGCAAGGAGCTGCCTACTGCCGTTCCGTACATACCAAAAACTTCAAGACCGTTTCAGCAATTCTGCAATGACAATGTTTAGATAAATAGACTTGTTCAAATCATAATTGTATGGTTTGCCTTTCTTAAAACTGCATTTCCCACATGGGTTTTAGCACTCTTCAGATAAAGCTGTCTTAAATACAAAGAAAACCAGCAGATTTTAACACTAAAACAGACATTCCATCTTCAACAAAGCTTCTCCCCAGTGTCTGAGTTGTTTAAATGAGAAGATTCTTTACGTCGTAGCTGTCTCTACTGAGAATCAGTTTGAGTTAGGTCTCTTTGTTTATTGTTTTCATTCAAGTGGATTTCTCTTTGGTTTTGATCTGGTTTAATATCTACTTCTGAGACACAGTTTTGTTTAAAGCAACACTGTATTTAATGTTTCGGTGCACAAATTTGATAGGAGAAAGTGTGAACTAATGCTTGTCAAACTGGATTTTCCCCACATTGTCTTTGGTTCTCCAGTAAACTGATTGATTCTCTACCTCTCAGCTCCAACCTGCCAAGCACACATTCCTAAAGGGAGAAAAAGAGAGCTGCAAGCTGACAGGCCAAATCTGACTTGCACAGTACTGTAAAGGGAACAACTGCAGGAACCTTTCAAACCTTGTTAATGTTACAGTCAAAGATCCTCTGTGTTTTGGGGAGTTATAACCATCTCTAGCACCAGCAATATGCCAGAATCCTGACTTTGTGGGAGTCTGGGATGACTTCAGGAAGACCAAACTGAAGATGAAAAAGATAGATTCTTCCCAAAGGATCTGCTGTGTTTTGTTCAGAAAATGACCCAGCCTCTGAAAAATGCTGGGCTGTTGCTGTGCACTATCTTGCTTGAGTGCACAAGTTGCAGGGAGAGCTGATGTCCTGTGAGTGTAACAGAGGGTTGGAGAAGCTGTCTGCCATCTGCGTGGAGTTGAGATTGGGTTGAGGAGAAACACTGGGTGCCTCAGTAGTAAGTGACCTGGCCTTGCCCAATGAAGGTAACTAAGGACATCTTATAAATGCACTTTATTTTTTTACCTCTGTATCTCTGACTAGTTTCTAATATTAGCAGGATTTTTGTCTTAAAGACTGCAATAAAGAACTTCAGAATCTGGAGGGAAAAGCAATGCATTTTCTTAGTTGTAGTATAAGTGAAATGGTTGTAAATATTTCATAATTTGTACTGAATTTGAATATGAAAATGTAAATAAAACTCTATTTTTGATGATCCTGACTGACATGAAATATTACCAGCTCTCATATGGAAGCAGATGCTGCATTTGCCCTGTCCCGCAACCCCAAAACTCAGTTTTGGGAGGCCAAAAAGCAGCAGTGTTTGCTCAAAGTAATTGGAATAAGGAGTGCTAATTATGTGCAGGATGCTACTGTTAGATGGATTGAAATAGTGTTAGGAGGTTTAAAACTAGTAGCTATACTCAATATAAAAGAAAAGCTGTACAGATTAGGGGGTGATCAGTGAGCTGCTGGATGTACCTCTGAATTGTTCTCGTAGGCATGTTCAGTACGAGGCAGTCTGCCATGAACTCTTCAGATCAGACAGGCTGCATCTCACTTTTCCTCTGTCAGGTTGCTCAGCATCCCTTCCTTAGTCCAAACTCTATTCTTGCTTTGAGGAAAAGGCACTTTTAAAATTATTAAACATCCCTTGTTCTGTACTGTACTATAAGGTGTAGTGAAAGCTTGTCGTCCTCCTGGCAGGTTTGGTAGTATTTAAGCCTTGTGTTTCTTTTTAGCTCTGTTCCAAGTCTAGTCTAGAAACTATCAGTTGGTTATAGGCTCCACTTTGAAGCTGTAATTTGCTGTGATTGCCTTTCTATTCTACCTCTGAAGTGCAGAGCAGAGAAAGGAACAGCCAGGCAGTAAATAGGCAGACCCTGAACACTCATTTAATTTTAATTTCCATTTCACAAAGCTTTTATAAATTTATTGTGGCATATAAGCTATAATGTAGCAGAATCTCATGAGGACACACTCATGAAATCATCTGCCAGTCTTGTGTTCAATAGGGGCAGGATATGGTGTTCAAGAAAAAAAGGGGGAGTTTCAGAGTCTCAATTCTATACATTGAAAGGTTCTTTTATGTTTTGCATTGTTCCAATCATTTGGAATACTTTGTTTATAGGATTATATAATTTTCACTTTCTCAAGGAATGCACTAGTGGAGTTCATGTTGTTGAACCTGTGCTGCTGTAGGATCAGATGATACGTGTGTGTTCTGTCAAGGCATGGCCTTGCTTGGAGCTTGAGGCACTTACACACTTTTTCAGAGAGATATTTAAGATTCTTATATCAAATGTGACCTACTGCTAAAGGAACAAATGCAGCATTTGTACCTGAACAGTGTTTGAGCTACTGCTAGGCAGAACTTAGAGCTTCTCTGGTTTTTGCAGCTTAACCTGTGAGTCTGCCATGTTCTTGTCAGTGCAGATTTGTTTGTAACTAGTAGCTATGCAAGGGGGTTTGTTTAAAAATGAAAGTGTAAATTTCATGAACACCATCTGTGATACTAAACTTGGGTCTGTTGCTGTCAGACTGTTTTAAAGAAATTTCAAAGCTCCACTCTCACTTTGTATTTCCAAGTTTCCATGGATAGCAGCTGTCTCTAACTGACCCTGTTTATCTAACTGACTCTGTTTAGAGGACTGTGCAGCAGATTTTTCATTTGGTTTTGGTGATGCTATGGGCTTGAATGGCTCTGGGTCATGTATACATACATACATGCACTGTGTCATGACAGCAAGAGGCCAACAGGGATGTGCTTGGGGATAGGGTTGTTCCTGAAATGCAATACAAACCTGCTGTCATCGTGCAATAGTTTTGGGATTTGCTGTAGATACAATAATGTTTGTGTGTAAGATAATGGAAATTATGTGCCCACAAGGGCGAAGAGTTGAATGTCTGCTGGATGACTCTGGTAATATTGCCACTGAGTCACACAGACGTGTGAATTCTTCTGTCCCCAAAGAGCAAGCTGAACAGGCTCCAGCATCATCTCCAAGTGTTTACTTACTGCTGTCACCTCTCTCCCCCAGGAAAGCTCTGATCTGGACACTTCACTCAAACACTTGTGTGCTCTTGAAGGGGGACTGGGAAAGATTTTTTTTTTAAAATCCCTGCAGGAGAGGAAGACTTGTCACCTGGTGCTGGATTGCTGTGCTGTCTTGTAAGCCAGGCTTTACAACAGCAGGACTTTTAAATCCCCAAACAAAATAATACCATTTTCTCATCTTGAGGAGAATTTTCAGGTGTCCCTATGGAAATGTAGTTCCAGATGAGAATTTTGCTTAAGGGAAAAAGGAGGACTTGTGATGAGGAGCTGCAAACATATAAAAGCAGTTTGAGTCACAAGGACTGTTGGACTCTTCCCATAAAATGTAGGGATTGAGTCCATCTCAGTCTTCAGATGGAAAGAGCTGCAGTTCTCAAGTGACCTAACAATTAGACAGAATAAATACAGACATCTACCTCAGCTGTGTGATTTAATTTCAAGAGAAATTTGAAACCAAACTGCAGCATTCATGCATTGTGATTTAAAGACAATAAAGTAATACATTGCACTGGTTGTTCAACTGTTCACAGAGTGAAGTGAAATTTATTTATATAGCTATTTATTTATTTGTATAATCTTGACTATGGCTATTTGAGGGAGGTAATTTACCATTTCTAGGAGGTCTTTAATAAGTGAAATAAAAATTCTGCAGCAGTAAATGGATCTCTGTTGCTATAGAATGCATTGATTAGATTGGAGCATGATTGTGCACTGATTAAGAAAGTCTTTAAGTGGCTATAAATAAATTCCTCCAAGCCGATAGAGGGGCACTTTCTGCATCTCAACAGTATTTGATTAAGGATCCAGTGCCTGAGGGAATTGGAAAAAATGCAGACATTCAAGACCTTGAAACAAGGAGAGGAAAACAAAACAGATGTTTTGTAGCATTTTACTGTTAAATATTTATCCAATTAACAAAGTTTGGAATTTACATAAGCAAGCAATGTATGTCCTAACATGACCAGTGTGTGTGAGTTGCCAAAAGGCAATCTCTGGGTCAGAAATGCCAAGGGCATCTCTCCTTACAGTTAGCATTGGAATTAGACAACCTGTGTTAGGTCCTTAATAGGTATTTCTTATATCCAAGGGCTTGCCTAATTGGGGAAAATGAAATGGTAAACACAGTCTCTGGGAATGTTCTTAGGGGAGCAGGATCCATGCAGGAACCGGCCTGTCAGTTCAGCTGGTAAATCTCCAGCACTGGCTGTTCCTCAGTCACTTCAGGTGAGGGATTGAAGAAACCACTTCAAAAAGAGCTGCATCCCAGTGTAGCCAGGAGTTTTTTGCCTTGCCTCATAACGTATGATCCGTGTTAGTTACCACGTGTGACACCATGTGCTGGATAATGACTTTTATTTCATTTTTCTGTCCTAGTAGAGGTAGAGCACCAGAAATTTGTTGCTTCCTACTCTGTTATAAAAACAGGTAGAAGAATTGTATTGGTTAATCTATATTCAGTCCCCAAAGTAAAGCTCTTTAATACTGCAGCTTCTCTTGCCGTGGTGCAGTGAGTGATTAGAAGAAAAGAAAAAAGCATCTCATGCCAATGCAATTCACCCAGTTTTGAGGCCTCCCCATGAGTTAAGTGGGATTGCATACTTGGGTTTGCTTTCACACTGGTGCCTTTGGGTAGGTGGTTGCTTACACAGCTGGAACTGGATGGGCATTGCCAAACAGTTTCTGTGAGTGCTTGGCAAAGCCTCACTGTGCCTGTGCTCACAAATAGACCAGCACTGACAGCATTAGGGTGGTGAAGTACTATTGAAAGGCATGAAAGAAAGCAAGATAAAGCAAAAGTGCCAAGGTTGCAACCTATAGTTAGTGCATAATATGCATAATTTGTTTTAGAACGAGCTCAAAGTAGAGGCTGATTTTAAATAACTTAGTGCTGATTTTTTCGTATGATGCATGATCAATAAAGCATTATCCTTGA